GGGCGATAACCTCAATCTACCCATGTCTGTGTGGCAGAACATTTTGTTTGCTTACGGCTCCTTACGATATAGCAGGATGTAACAAATCAGTGATATTGATGTTACTTTTCCTTGTTAACCTCGTCTACAACCCATGTCTGTAACCTTGCGCTGGTTTTTACTTCCTACCGAGAAATCCTATTACAAGCTGGTCTGGACAACTATACTAAAAAAGAGCTCATTCATAACTTCTTGAGCCTCAGATTTAAAAATAAAAAGAATAAATAAAACCAAAAAATTATATCACTGATCCTCTTTATTATATTTTGTAAATCAACTTTATTACTAACAACTTGGTACTTCTGAATTTCCTCTATTCTTTCAACTAACTTCTCATTAGTTATCTCACTACTGAATTGTCTTCATTAACCTACATAAGCGCAGATGTAAAGTGTTCTGATATTAAAAATGTTTGGGTAAACATACCTTTGTTTTATCCATAAACGTATGTGCGAAGCCGTTGTTCGGCTTTGAACATGAATATTTTCTGTTCTGCTCCTCGTCCCGTTTTCTTTATTCCTCTTTTTTCAGAACCTTATTCCAATCCACATATATTTGTCTGGATATTTGCAGTAGACTTGGTTACCCTAGCCAAGAACATGTGAAATCATTAGCTGACGAATATCAACCAGACTTTTGTACATTTACCGCATCAATTCTTGTTATATGAAAACCTGTCTGTACCATGAATCATTTCTCAGCCCATAAGATGATTGTCGTAACGCAACCTTCGTAACTTGCGCCAATTGATCGCTTTGTACATTCCATCTTTAAGAAAACAATGAATCTTATGAAATGTTTCAGTAACATTATACCGCTTTCAGAAAAAAATATGTTGCTAATCTTAACATTTTGATCTTGCCTGTAAATTGGCATGTCTCTTGTAACATGTTTGTTATTTGAGAATAAATTATTATTATTATTAAGCAAACACAAAAACTTCAATATAAGTACAAAATATAGAAATAATAACAATATTCAATGATAAAATCTCAAATTGGAATCAAATAAAATACCAAAAATGTCAAGAGAAAAAGTCCGTCATGTCATAACAAAAATATGTAAACATGGAGGGATTTTCCAAAAAACAAAACATTCAAAAAGGATTCTACAGTTGTTACTCTGAGAGAAGTTCAATCACTTCAATCACAAAACCCTAAAATTCATAAGTGCCGCCGAATGGCTAGACTGACACAGCAGAAATGATTAAATGCCTGGAACCGTGCCGAAACAACGAGAAGTGAATGCAAATAAATTAACTGGTTTATGCTAACCCATGAAAAATATTAGATCCATTTACCTTGATTCAGTTATGAGCTAAATTATTCCTTCCTTCAATTACAGAACGAACGTAACAGGATACATGCACCCTCGTAACCAAGAGAGTTCTCCTAGGAAACAAACAGATAACCCATTCTACCAAGGTTCGCGCACACTTTTTTTCACTAGGAATTGTAGCAACCTGGAATGCTCTCCCAGCCAAAGTGACCACAGTCCCATCAGTATATAGCTTTAAGAGGAGAGTTGATAAACTCATAAAAACTAACGGATCTTCATATCACTCTTGGACCAGCTGTGTCTGATGCATGTCTCGAGACTTGTTAGTTGTTATTATTGTCATTTTTACTGACTTATTCATTATCGCTTATTGTGGCTGTCTCTTTTTCTTTGCTTACATTACAGCCATCTCACACAATCTCCACATTGCAACTAACTGATCTCCAGCATGGTAATGTGATAGCTGTTGATATACAGAAACCTAACTGTCCTAAAAAAACGCATACGTTCAAATCACGGGACATACAAATTTATAAATAACTGCCAACTGACTAGAACTAACTCCACAAGTAGAACCTGAGGGGGTTACTGCCGGTCCCTAGCCCGGATAAAGGAGGAGGGTTGGACATGTGGTTGGCGACCCCATTCCGTCGAAATCTCACTTGCCAAAAAAAACGCTAACAATAAAAAATAATTCAAAACATTTTAACTGTGCCCTGGGAGTTGGAGGAAGAATTATGACGTCGCGTGATGAAAGCCGAATTACCTCGGAAGTTACGGGGCCGATGCCTCTTCTGACAACCAGAGCAACCATTCTTTTAGGTACATGGAACGTTCGTACATTGTGGGAGACTGGAAGACTATTTCAAGTTGCGGCACAAATGATAAGATACAACCTGGAGGTGCTTGGAATCAGTGAAACACATTGGACACAAGTAGGACAACTGAGACTAGCTTCAGGGGAACTGCTGTTATACTCTGGTCATCAAGAGGAAAATGCTTCAGATACAGAAGGAGTTGCACTGATTCTGCCCAAATATGCACAAAAGGCACTGATAGGATGGGAATCTCATAGACCCAGGATCATTAAAGCATCCTTCAAAACAAAGAAAGCGGACATTACAATGAACGTCATCCAATGCTATGCACCTACCAATGACTACAATGATGACGTTAAAGATCAATTCTACGAAAGGCTGCAGTCAATCGTCGACAGGTGCCCACCAAAGGATCTGACGATTCTTATGGGGGACCTGAATGCCAAGGTTGGCATGGACAACACTGGATATGAAGACATCATGGGACGACATGGACTGGGAGAAAGGAACGAAAACGGTGAGAGATTTGCAAACCTATGTGCCTTCAACAAACTGGTCATCGGTGGCACAATATTCCCGCACAAACGCATTCACAAAGCCACATGGATTTCACCGGACCACACTACTCGAAACCAGATTGATCACATCTGTATCAACCAAACGTTCGGAAGGAGTATGGAGGATGTGAGAACCAAAAGAGGAGGTGACATAGCTTCAGATCACCATTAGCTGGTCGCCAAAATGAAACTGAAACTCAAGAAACACTGGAAAACGGGGCAGATAACATCACAGAAGTTTAATACGGCCTTTCTTCGGGATACCGTAAAACTCAATGATACAAGATAGCCCTCATTAATAGGTTCCAGGCCTTTCAGGATCTACACAATGGAGAGGAAGCAACATTGGAGGACAATTGGAAAGGGATTAAGGAAGCAATCACTTCAACATGTCAGGAGGTCCTTGGTCGCAAGAAGCAGCATCACAAGGAATGGATCTCTGTTGGTACTCTTGAAAAAATTCAAGAAAGGAGGAACAAGAAGGCAGCAGTGAATGTCAGCCGAACAAGAACAGAGAAAGTTACCGCAGAAGCTGCACACACAGAAGCAAACAGGGAAGTGAAGAAGAGCATCAAAGCTGACAGACGAAAATATGTCGAAGATCTAGCAATGACAGCGGAAAAGGCTGCAAGAGAAAGAAATATGAGACAATTGTACGAAACTACAAAGAAGCTCGCTGGGAACTATCGTAAACCAGAACGACCAGTGAAAAGCAAGGAAGGCAAAGTAATCAGCAACACTGAAGAACAGCGACATAGGTGGGTAGAGCACTTTAAGGAACTATTGAATCGACCAGCTCCACTGAACCCACCCAACATTGAAGTAGCATCGATGGACCTCCCAATTGATATTGGCGCACCTACGATTGAGGAGATCAGTATTGCCATCAGACAAATCAAGAACGGCAAAGCAGCAGGACCAGACAACATTTCAGCAGATACAATGAAAGCAGATATAGAAGCGACCGCGAAAATATTTCACATTCTCTTCAAGAAGATTTGGGATGAGGAACAAGTACCATCAGATTGGAAAGAAGGATACCTCATCAAAATACCAAAGAAAGGAGATCTCAGCAAGTGTGAGAACTACAGAGGTATCACTCTTCTTTCAATACCAGGCAAAGTCTTCAACAGGGTATTGTTAAATAGAATGAAGGACTTCGTAGACGCCCAACTTCGAGATCAACAGGCCGGATTTCGTAAGGATCGATCATGTACTGACCAAAAAGCTACATTACGGATCATTGTGGAACAATCAATTGAATGGAACTCACCACTCTACATCAACTTCATCGACTACGAGAAAAAATTCGATAGCGTGGATAGGAAAACACTGTGGAGGCTTCTTCGACACTACGGTGTACCTGAGAAGATAGTTAACATCATACGGAATTCTTATGATGGATTAGACTGCAAAATCGTACACGGAAGACAGCTGACAGACTCTTTCAAGGTGAAGACCGGTGTCCGATACAACACAACATGCACCAGCCAAATCACTCTTGATGGAGATGCCTTGGAGGACGTTAACACCTTTACATATCTGGGCAGCATCATCGACGAGAAAGGTGGATCGGATGCAGATGTGAGGGCGCGGATTGGCAAAGCAAGAGCTGCATTTCTACAGTTGAAAAATATTTGGAACTCCAAACAAATATCAACCAAAACCAAAATCAGGATTTTCAATACAAATGTCAGGACAGTTCTACTTTATTGAGTGGAAACTTGGCGAACTACCAAAGCCATCATCCAGAAGATACAAGTGAATATGAACAGTTGTCTACGCAAAATACTTCGTATTCGTTGACCAGACACCATCAGCAACAACGAACTGTGGCAGAAAACAAACGAGATTTCAGTGGAGGAGGAAATCGGGAAGAAGCGATGGAAGTGGATAGGACACAAACTACAAAAAGCACGTAACTGCGTCACGAGACAAGCCCTCACATGAAATACTCAAGGCAAAAGGAAAAGAGGAAGGCCAAAGAACACACTACGCCGAGAAATAGAGAAAGATATGAGAGGAATGAACAAACATTGGACAGAACTGGAGAGGGAAGCCCAGGACAGAGTTAGCTGGAGAAAACTGGTGGGCGGCCTATGCTCCATTGGGGGTAACAGGCGTAAGTAAGTAAGTAAGTAACTGACTAGAATTAGTTCGGCCAAGTGGCTAGACTACCATCGACTAAAAACTACCAACTACCAGGAACTGTACCGAAAAACAAGAATGAATGGTAAAGAAATAAATTGGTTCAGATTATCCTATGAAGAAGATATTGGATATATTAGGTATTGAGTCGAAGACTGAACTTTGGAGGTGTGTTTGTACCATTCAAGGTCGTTTAGCCCATTCGATTAATTTTCTTCCTTCAAGAGTGGCTAAGTGGCTCTTCAGATTTCAATGATTGCAGTTCAGTCTTGGAGTTGTGGCACATTTCTTTTACCGATCGTGCCCATCAAGTTTATGCTTCCTATGCAATAACGCGTGATCCTAAAGTATAGATATCCTGCTTACTCTGTACGTGTCTGTCGAATCAGCTATGTATTACCCACAGAAATTTTGTTCTCCAAGTGTTTTTTCAAATTTTACTATTTTTGGCATGCCATTATGGATGTTTTACTATGTTGACGCCAAGTCACAGACTGACATCTTGGTAACTGTAGAACACGGTTTACATGGCCAAAATAAATATCACATTTCCTGATATCGATCCCCCCGTTTCTCGAATAAAGTGCTCATCGGATCATAAAACAATAACTTGTAACGCCAAAACCGCACGACTGATACTGTTTGATCGATTATCTTCACTTGTCTTTCATCAATAAGTATCCTTTTCGCTCTACTGAATATCTTCCGGGTTCATACTGATTATATTTCTCACTGATCTTCGATAATAGCTTTTACAATGAGTCGCATATCCAACTAATATTTAAGTTTCAATATTGATATTATCAGAGTTTTCAGGTAATTCACCTGTTTTCGATATTTGAGCATCAATGACAAACTTGTGACTAGTAATATGTGCTGACAGTTCATTCATAATCGACAGCAACTACTAAAATTTAGAGCGACCGATGCAACTTATGGACCTTAAACTGCTTTCTGTGACATTCAGAAATTCTTAAGAGTTCAAATGAGAAGCCCTCTTGACATCTGAGGTGTGACAAAACTTAGCTACTGTGTAGCGCTTTTAAAAAGCAATTGAGGGTATTAAAAACGTTTTTAACAAATTAAATATGGAAAGACCAACCTTCCCTGTAGAATCTAAAAATTGAATTCTTTCAAATAATGCTATCCCACTTCATCCTTTTTAAACTCTGCTGCTATCGTTCAAAGATTGAAACGTTGGTTACTCATTGTTGGTACATCACTTAATGTATCGAGATAAGCAAATGAATGGAGTTTTTGCTTTTTAGGACCACTAGCTTTTTTTGTGGGCCTTTAGAAATAGGGAAGATTTTGTTGCATCAATCTCTTCAGTGTTTTGGTTAGTGGTAATTCATTATTAAACAAACTTATAAGATTCTCATAAAGGACCGAATTATTCTGTATTTGAGCCTTATAGCAGGAATTTTGGACCATAAACAGCACTCACTAGACTTTTTCGAAAAACCGGAAGTAATTTATTGGATATGTGAAGAAAAAAACATTGACAGTAAAATAAACGTACCGTTTAAGATTCAGTACCATTAGGGGGCTATATCGACCGTCTCTTTGCGGTCTGTTTTAGGATCTGGGTTTTCAGTTTTTACGGAGCTTAAACACATAAATTACTCACTGGGTGGTTCTAACATACGGGGACATTGCTTCCGGGTCACTGAATGTTAATAACCTTAAAATTATTTTAAGGATCATTTTACAGTAGAACGAGACGAACAGCTGCTCAATAAAGCTTTTCAAGTCAAGTAAACTTCGTATCTACGTACGTCAATCCTAGTTGCTATACCATAAGGCTTCTAGGGTTTCCAGTGTACGCTAATTTACAGCTCGCTCAAAAAGAGGTCTTCGTATCAACTATCGCGTTTTGTATGTCTTAATAGGTCTTATAACATTGTCTCAGAGTATGTATCACTTTGCACTTAACATTTAATAGTTGACTCCAAAATATAAGACATTTAGCCTGCAAATCAACATAGAAATACGACATCCCTAACAGACTCTTATTTCTCTGGAACATATTGTGAATGCTGTGGGTAACTGATGTGGCGAGTAGTACATTCAAAATCCCTTCATATCAAAGTGGGCCGTTTTAAATAGATCTGAGGACTTAGAACCTATTTAGCATTATCATGTTAGTGGAAAAGGATTGTTGTAGATGACATTGATCTCAGCCTTCATCACCGTACAGAACATGACGGCGTTTGCTCATTATGTGAGCTGAAATGTTTTTTCCAACGTCGTCACGAATTTCCCCAAAACAATCGTATGTAACTCGTTTTACCTTGCCCTTTTGTGTTATACTCGTATCTTTTCTGTATTTCCTTCTGTCTCTACATGTGACTACTTTCAGTCTTCAGCTCCATTTAAATCACTTGCCGAATTTGAACAACCATACTATAATTACTAAAGTAAATCAAGAACTGAGGGCTTTAGGTCACTTTAGTATGATGGGATATATTTTGTTTTCTTGTACTGTATCCGAGCTTTTTTCGTTTTTTAATAGGATGGATGCACATGGTGAAATGAATAAAGAAGGCGATTCAAATTATCCGAACTCTTACTCTAAGGAAGTTGAGGAAGCACTTTCTCGGCTTAATTTAAAATCGGACAGTTTAGACGATCCTGATTTTAATGTTATTTCTTATATTAATGAAGTTAAGTCATCACAAAATCCTTATAATCTATCTTTTAGAGATTTCCCAGCGAACAGTCACTGGCAAATATAGATGAGTTAATAGCTGAAGCGGAAGATAAAATTCGTGAGTTAGACGATGAAACTAGAGATCTACTACGTGGTCGCTGGCAAACAGAGGATAAAGGACAAGCGACTGTTCAGGATGCGAAACATATGATAAAAGTATTATTCTCTAGGTTTGTTTGGTTTTTATATATATTGGTATATCACATTTCAGTAAATTATTTCATAATCACTAATCCACTTACCAAGTATTGGTTTATGTGCCATACTTTGGACCATATAGTGTGAATATCAGTGATACCACTCACCTGAAATCTAATTAATGACTGTAAACCAAGTGTGTAAACCACTAAGCCATCACTTATATGTTACTCAGTGTTCAATTTCTTCCTCGGTGTTGTACATTAATTCATCCTTTTGCCTTCTTATGCGCATAAAAGAGGCTTTTATGAGGATTTTACTGCCCATTTGTCCCATGATGACTTTTCTAACCAGTGTGGTGTATACCACTTGCGATGTGGCTTATGAGTGGTATATAGCAGTGTCGTCCATAAGTTACTGCTGAAGCGAACAGTATCGGGTGCGGATGTATGGCACGATCAAGGTCTCTTGAAGACTAGACGACAATAATTTGCTTGGATTGAAAATGAGGCCTAAAGATAAGATGTACACATTTTGCTAGTAAACTGCGTCTTACTTCATTACACCAGTATTACTTGAAGTTTAATAGGAAACTGCAAATTCGGAAAGTTATTTGTGCATATGCTAATTCATAGTTGTAGTTACCGGAGTCAGGTAAAACCCGTTTGTTTCCAGATATTATTTGAACGGCACAAACTCAATGTCACCATAATGCTGCTAGGTGGCTTGTTGTGTGTGCGAATTTGTTCTATTCCAGTGAAGCTGTTATTTCTGTCTATGTTTAATCTAAAATGCATCCATTATTGTTCATATCGTCAAACAGAACCTGAATAATACACTTTATAGGCAGATATGACGAAGAGGCAACGGCGAGTGTCCCTATCCTTACGAGTCCTTACTGTCCCGTTTAGTCGGACAGCGCACAAACGACTATCTACTGGGATCCAGTCTAGGAGAGATAATTCTGCCCTAGGACTCAACGCTATGCCTACGCCAGCAAGACCCCTGGAAGCAGCATCAGGGCTACCGGATACACGAAGAGTAATCGAGCTGCTTCTTCGTTTTGACAAGGTGGAATCAGGTTAATGACTTTACTAGGATCCTGTATGCGCGTTTCCGAGACACAGCATACATCGATGGCCTGAGATTTTAAAGTCCTAGCTAATGATGCCTGTTGCCCTATTTGACACAATGTCCGTACATTAAAAGCTCCAACATGTAGTTAGAACGGGGTTTCAAGAGACCAGGAACGACGTTTCGTGATCTCGCTTCGTCTGCATTAGCGGTGCAGTGAGAAAAGGGAGTGTGAGTAGAGTTAGTCGTAGAGATAAGAGAGGTACTGAAGTCACTGAAGTCAAAAATATACAAGTTCTGATGTGTTAACTGCTTTTAGATCACAAAAATATTGTATGAAAGATTCTCTCACAGTTAGCAGGATTGATCCTATTTTCATCAATCACCGTTAAACCGTATTGTCAAGACTAATCTAGATTGTGTGCGTCGAAATATACTCGTCCAATGTCTGTTGAACAAGACAGTTGTCCAGGGATTACTGTAGATCACCTGAACCTGTTATAGTTTGATTTTTCCGCCGTAAAACTTCAGGTTCTGAGGAACTCCATGAGGTGTTGTGTATCCACTATTTACAGGAAAACTATTGTCACACCATAATAAAATAGATAAATATGTCTCATCCACATATTTGATCAATGTACGTTAGTATGGTGTGTGGTTCTTACCACATAAGTCTATGGTAGATTTATCAGACTAACGCTAGTTTGTATCTGCACTTCTAAGCAATTAACCATTTGGTAATTGGTAAGTTAATGCACCTGAGCAGTTTCGTTGCATTAACTTACCACGAATTCTAAATGGATACTCTTGTAACTTGATATACTTGTTTGATAACAGAAGAGGTGGAGTAAACTTAATCGGCTTCTAAAACTAGTTTGTGTTTTTGTATTCCTCTGTATTGAACACTTAGCATGCGAAATGAATATCTCAAACAAGAACAGAACAGTTTGCTTAATATTATCATAGCATGAAATGACGAGTAATCCTCTAACCACCTCAGTAGTCTTTGTCTTCATATTTTCGCGAAACTAATAACATTTCTAGTTTATATCTGTATTGAGTTTGTATTTTAAGTAAGCCAGTCAGTTACAACTTAGAACGTCTTACGTACGTACATCAATTCAAGTTGCCATAGTATTTTAAATAAAGTATTGAGCTAACTTAGTTTTGTGAAGTACAACAAGCATTCCGTCTGTTAGTTTTGCCAATAGTTGTCTGTCAAATGGTACTATGCGAATCGACTCTATACCGTAAGAACGGGTTCTTGGGATCATATCTTTTGGCTCTAAACCAAACACCAGTAACCTAACATTTACTTAATGTCAAACACGTCTCCACCATCAATGTTTTTGTCGATGTGTTTATCAATATATTGGTGATGCATCGTAACAATCCTTATTGTCAGCTTTTTATGACTTATTTTACTATCGAGTTTTTATTAGGGTTACTGTAATTAAATCATATGAAATCCCTCTTTTTATCATTGAAGTCATAAGTCTTTAACTCCTGATATGTTGCCACTGTCTTAAGCCGCATGTTTGGAAAGTTTATATGTCGATATAGTATACTCCCAACAACATAATTTTTTCGTTTAATCTTCATTCTTAATTTCTTAGTTACTATTATTTGAACTATACGTCTTATAGACATCTTAATCAGAATGTGATTTATTTCGTAGTTATGTTGATTGAATTACTTTACACGCAAAGGTGAAATAATATTGTTGCCGCCATTACTATCACTTTTAATTGTTCTACTCTTTGTCTTTAAGCAGAATTTTCAGTAAAAAAGTCATTGTGCACTTCATCTTATAGAATACAGGATGTTCAAGATCGAGCTACCAGATCAGAAGAAATGGTACAAGATATCACTCGGGATATACAGCAGCTTGATCAAGCGAAGCGTAATCTAACTGTTTCCATAACTGCCCTAAATAATTTAATACTTATTGTAAACGCTGTTGATCGTCTAAACGAATTGCTTGGAATACAAAGTCCAGCGAATGACCCAATGTTTCTGTCGAAGGATAATGACACGCATATCAGTACCCTTAATCCATTTCTAGAGCCTGACACAGGTAATTTTGTCACACACTTCATTTCACTAATTATTTGGTACGAGTATTGTTTTTTTCCCCGCTGTATTTAAACATATATACATTAGCAGCGGTCTATGCTCCATTTGAGGTAACAGACGTAATTAGTAAGTAAACAATAAATTCTTGTTTGTGTGACGAACGTCTAATGGAATCTTTAATATAGACTGAAGGCGGTTTTATGTTTGATCAATGAACTCAAATGTTATTGATGCACAGTTTCTCCTGAAACTTTGATGTTGTTGTACACAGTTTTAATCCCATCAATATCAATGCTAATATAGTTATAGAAATAACGATGACGTAATCTAGATAGATAATATTTAAGTGCGCTTTCGTGAAAGGAAGTTCCATTTAATATGAATACGTAGTCTCTTATTTAATTGTGACTACGTTCATTCTGCATAGAATGAGAACTGTTCCATTTACTGGAATGAATCTGCAACTAATAATGTATAGTATGCATCCACGTTTCAAATAACTCTGCTGAAAGATGTCGAATCTGATGTCCAATTATCATATTCGCTTTGACTCCAAACATTTGTTTGTTAGTAGCTTTAGTTGTTGTCCTGAAATTAGTCAAATTTATGTATTACAATAATTTGTAAGGATTGTATTCACGTAGTTTCTGCAACATGACTAGAGTCTACATATTCTCATTAAAATGATGTTTTGAATTTTGAACAAGAAGCTTGGATGAATGAAAACCATCCACCTGAAAAAAAGTTTCAAAAATTTGTTCCATCCTTTTTGGTGGAAATATCGAATCTATTAGCTCAAGTTCAACGTTTATTACAACCTATGATGTCAGCCTATGGTTCTGTATCATCTGTGGCTGGTTTATCTCGAGAATTGGATGTTATTCATTCAGTCCTTGCAGATCGTTTGGCTAAAGAATTGAAGCTGTTACTAGCAGTATGTAGATATAAATTTTTTTATTTAACATTTTTTGTGCCGTTATTGCTTCCGTTTATACACTTGTTATGCCTAATGCCTATAAAGCGTTTAATTTAGTAGCACTTTTGAATTTATTTTGGTAAGCTTTTTATGAAAAAGGTTACGTGCAGATCTGCTAGATGGGAATGTCATAAAATACCTTATCTTATTATATGGCATGTTGGTTTTACTGGCAGCTAGTGCTTATTCATTTCTGTAATAATGCAGCTACTCCATATTATCTCCTGTGGTTTTCTGACTGACTTGTACAGAAGTAATTTCAAAGTGTGGAAAGGGGTTTTCTTCCATGACATGAATTTCTTGTTTTACAAGGATGGTTTCTGTTCTTGGAAATAGTATTTGTACTTGTATTTTCAGATCATTCTGCACACTTTTGCTGACATGTTCTCTTTTATGCGGAATCTCAATTCACTAATTGTTCTAACTACCATATTAAGCTTTAATTACATCTACCAAGTGTAAAATACCACTCAGTGTCTGAATAACTACCAGACGTCACGACAATTGATGTAAAATGTAGGTATAATTTACGTCGAGCAAATTTTCAAGTATCCGTGGTGTATTTCAAAACGTGCTAATGCTCCTGAATGCTAACCTCGCATAAGCACCAGAGTAGATGCTGTGAGTAATACAGTCTCATATATCTCAGTTTATCAGTTCGTGATTCTTGCAGTACCTCTAATCCTCATTAATCAGGAAATTCATCTTTACTGTGGGTTTGTCTGTAAGTAACGCTTCATCCCTGTCGTCTAACGTTAGATGTGCAAGTTGTTTACAAAAGGTAGCGTTTATAAATACTCAAAATAATATTGATGTCTGAGTCCTCATTACCTAGTTACTTGTACCTCATGAAAAGCGGCACAGGAGTTGGGTCGATGTTTTTAGTTAAACCGAAATTTGTTCGAATTCTTATTTTGCCTATTAAATCCCATTTCGTAAAATACACCTTTGTGGGTTGAAACCTTTTGTTGGTTATTATGTACTAGTCGTTTTTATGTAATTGTATTGTTCAGTTGATATTCATACAATAATGTAACACTTACGAAGTTCAAGTTTTCTGCACTCAGTTTTGAACCATACCATTTTCATGGGGGGCTGATGATCCTATATGGGCAACTAAATAGTAATGTTTTAAGGTTAGGATGTACACCAGCTGTTATGCGCAACACATTTCTAGATGAAGAGCCCAGTCTTTTATTTGCTACTATTGTACCAAAGCACTCTAATCACACTTCTCTCTCATTCAGTCTTAATTAGTTGCACAAGTAAGTAATCAACTAATCTGACATCTGTAACAATTTAGAAACACCTATCTAATGAATTATATTGGTTTTGACACATCTTTTCTAATAGGTAATTTTTTGTGATTACTTACATTATTGTCCTTTCTGTTAGAACAATCACATTTTCATTCTGTATATCTAAGTTTCTGTACCAGATTCCCCATTTTAAGCCGGTCATGTATGTTTTTATTTCTCATTCTCATTTGTTTACTACGAACAGTGGAATAAGATTTTCTGGGAATCATACTTATGTTTCATTGCAGTAATTTAGGAAGAGGTTAGCAAATCCTTAATTTTGAAATACATTTTTCATAGGTTGCTGTCCTTTCAGTCTGGTTTTTTCGTTTCTCATTTGTTTGACAATAGTACTTCGAAAGTCGCTAATTTTTTCGTGTTAAACTTATGACAGTAAACTGAATGCATACACTTTTGCTTGTTAACTTTCTGGAATTATCTCTCTAGTTCTATTTTTGTTAAATAAGTTGGTCAAGTCCATGTCGTGATTTCTGTAGCAAATGCACTTATCATCCTGCTCATATATTTGTTGATACAAAATTTTCTTTATCGACATATTTCGTTTCATATATAAAATCCGATCTGCCAGCAACTAGTTTGCTAAATCATTTCCATTTGTTCTTCTAATACTAGGCTACTCGGACAGTCACAGATAACAAGGAACTGATTTTATCAGCCTGTGAACTAGTTGACTTGCTCCCTAAGAGCTTTCATCTCAATTCAGATATCGTAAATTGGTTTATCTCTCATCATCTAACTGAGTATAAGGAGCTGTTTGATTCAACACAAACTACTGCTTGGTTGGATAAAATTGATCAGCGATACAACTGGTTAAGAACTAACTTGGTTCCTTTAGAACGTTTATTTGTTTCAGTTTTTCCTCCCTCTTGGTTGGTAACTGAAAAGTAAGTTTAGGGGTACATTCAGTTTTTAAAGATTAGTTTAATAATTTATCTCTGATTATCCAAATTTACTTCACGAAATTTTCTAACATAAATTTGTCAAGTTTTGAGTTAATAATAATAATAATAATAATAATAATAATAGAGGTAGTGGAAGTATTAGCGGTAATAAAGAATATTAGGGTCCGAAGATATTATTCAAGAAGTATAATTCATTGAAATAAATTTAGATAAAGAAAGATAGAGGTGACGAGGAATTCAGAAGATTAAAATTTGAGAAAGCACAAAGAGTGGATGCGCCTATGCCATTAAAAACGATTTTGAGCCAAGTCGTTCAAGTTCCCCAATTATCGGTTACTATGGTCTCACTGACCACAACCAGGTAGTCTGGATCTATTAGCATGGCTGAGTTCAGTTGTCAGTGATTTCAAGTATTTGTGCATGTTTTGGTTTGGTCACCTCTAGCTTTCTTCCATTCTTCTCCTACACCACAAAGCATCGCTCATGGGGGCAGTCGGTGGTTGGGCATATGTAACACATGTCCCAACCATCTCCACTGATGGACATTCATTACTTCATCTGTTGATTTGCCATCGCTACCTAATACACGTTTCGTAACGACAGAATTGCTAACTCGATTGTCTCAGGATGCACGAACAACACTTTGATGACATCTTTAGATCACAGGTCAGTACATGGAACTATATTTGATAAATAAGACAGTTAGTTTTTGAAGATCGTTGCTGTTTCAACTACCATTCGTTTGGATATTATTAGTGTTTGCCAGGGTTGATCGCTTTCCCCATTTTCATCCATTTTTTTCATAAACATGCTCTCAGAGATGACACTTTCATCGTTTGACTTTCCACGAGCCGACCTTCTATCAGGAGATTCGCTTGTCAACTTAGAATATGCTGACGACATAGTTCTACTTAGTGAAGACGCTGACAAAATACATAGTCTTCTGATCACCTTAGGTAACAATACAGGTATGTTCCGAATGCGATTCTCCCACTCCAAATCCAAAGTGTTGCTTCAAGATTGGCTTGCGTCGGCACCTGAACTAATGATAAGGAGTTTATGCTATATTACTAGTCTATTTCCAATCACACTATGGTAACTAATGTCATACTATGTATTCCATCAGGTTCTGAATAACGTCTACCGATTTTGTTCACAAAATAACTGCTAAGTTAATTGCCTTTTCACCAAAGTGCAAAGTATTTGATGTTGCATGGTTAGAGAGAATCATGAAGCGGGTGTAGACTTAAGGTTTCAGACCTGTTGGCATGCCTGAAACCTTTAGTAAATTCATTTCTCTGGATCATTGTACCCCCAAAGTCATCAGGCTAAAATACATTTCCAATTATTCTTAATCTTTTCAACGTCATGTATTTTTACGGTTTCTCACAAACCTTAAATGTGTTAGGATGCACTTGATACGACCGACAAAAAGTTAATTTGTGGATGATGTCAGTTTGAACGGTTGTTTATCGTCATGCATTCTATAGTTTTAACTCAATTAACTACTCTCACTAATCTTTCATACTGACTTGTGTTGACTATTTAGATTTGTTTTGGAGTTTTGTCATATTACACGTGTTGGCTTAGAAACTGTCATGAAACGACGTCAGTCGGAACTTACCCATAATCTGATTGTTTTCGCATTGCAACGCACTTTATCCTTCGAGGCCAGTTTGAATAAAGCATATACATCCGAAGCTCTAGAAGAGTTACAGTCTATGATAGGCAGTGGCAGGAATATGGAGCGTTCGTCTAATCCGTTTGATGATGAGGATGGTTCGGAAGATGAACAATCTGAACATCAATTAGAGGATAAGAATGATAAATCATCAACAACTGATTCTAAACACAGTTGGAAAAAGCAGACTTTTGATGGAATTATATCTAGGTAAGTAAATGCATATTTTCGGAACTGATAAAGTGATTCATTTAATATTTTCATGGTGAGTGAAGTCAAAAGCTTCTCTGAAACAAATTGGTTGCCAGGTGCACGTGTATTTTTGCTAGGTAGAGTCGTTATAAATAACTCAGTGGCTTTCATAGAAGTGTCATCATGGAAATTTTAATTGTTGTGCTCTTAAAAGATCTAGGGCTACTTAGAAGCAGTCTGCTGTCATTTTCAAAACGCTACAAATGAATCCACACCGGTGAAAAATTTCCTATACATTACATGAGTATTCAAATCTATAGTTGTCACTATAATGTTGGAAATGGTTGTGTAGTAGGACTCATATTGACGAATGTCATTATGGGCTATATTTACAACTCGATGGTCGGAAACAAATATGATCTCTTTCAATATTTATTTAAAACGAACATTTTATCTTCAAAGTACATAGACATCTTTATATAATTTCTTGATTCAATAAGTCTAACTGACAATGCTTAATAATATGGCACCTTTAATGTTTCATCATTCACATTTAAGCATAGGCTAAACGTAGTAAGTTCAAATCAACATTACTTGACCGCATCCACTGGTTGACTTCGTTCATCTGTCGTTGCATCAACCATGATATTCTACACTATCACCTATTCGCTAATGGTTTATTATTGTTAAAGGATTATGCAACCATTTCTGTTTCAGAATACAACAACATGTAGGTGTGGTGACAGTCATTATTTCAAGTGGTTTTGTACCTGAGTTTGCTTTCACTCAAAATAAGATATTTCCCACAATTATGAGAGTCGTAGGGGATATTTAATATTGTTTCATTATACTTTGTTTTGTTCAATCACCTTATATCTTCCATGTTCTTTTACTTTTTATCCCTGTTATTCTTGTTATTATTAATATTGTTAGTATTGTACGAACATCAATTCTGTATGAACTATTCTTCATACTCATTTTTAGCTGTTTCGACCAATTCTTCGACCTCTATTTGGTTCATTTGGACAAAGGTCTGAGAGAACAAATGACAAATCGTTTGATTGGTGATTTCACTGTTAATAAGTCAACTTTGGAGAACAGAGACCTTGGAGATGTATTCAGAGATGGTAACACGTTATAAATTGATGAAATACTCATATATACCTATTTTATTATTAAGTTTTACGAAGGTTTTTCAAAAAAATGTTTTCATATTCTCTGCATCTTGCCATAATTTAGTAATTCCCATTTCAAAGAGTGGTTCATAGTATGCTTATCGAAGATTGTATTTTGTCAGTCTTTATCGTATATTTATACTTTACATACATCGAAGGTAATACAATCAAATTCAAAGGTACTTATACTTGGAAAAACGACGCCATGAAATTTCCACTACAGAAAGTAGGGACACAAAGAACTGGTGCAACGAAGACTCATGAACTTACTGAAACACGTCCCCAGACAGGTCCAAAAACGTCCTCATTCGATCAAACTATTCTCATTTATTTACTGATTTTTACACAAAATAATACTACATAAAGGGAAAATATGTAGTTGCTGCAAAAACACTCACACTGAATGTGGTTCACGTGAATTGATACAGGGAACATAAACGTCACAATGGCTGATAGTTCAAACCTTCCGTATTGAGCTGAACTCATACTGAATTGATACCATAAATATTTACTTGAAACGTCACATTGAAAAAAGTGGTCTACAGCCGTCATCCTGAACGAAATTCTTGATGAATCGATACAAAAAATATTCGATAGGTGCCACCGAAATAACAAGTGGAGGACTCTCTCGGTTTGTTGATACAACTTATGTTCACGTCTTTAAGATTGGATAGGTTTTCTGTGATATATTGGATTCTTACTGTAACTTGTTTTTTATGTAACATTTTTCTTTCAGACAATCAATTTGATACTGCACAAAACAAATTAAATCCCAATGACCCTGGTGAAAATACTTTATATTCTGCTACAGATTTGTTCCTATTCTATAAACAAATCTTGAAACAAACTCTTCAGTTGAATCGGGGTCGTGGTTTATTAGGACTTGTACGTCTTTTAAAACAATATTTGTCTGAATACACGGTTCGTGTACTCTTGGCTCAAATTCCAGGCTTAGCAATTACCAATAGCAGTGGAACTAACGTTGGTCTATCTGCGCCGGATGTTGCAGCAAAAATGGCAGCATTTGGTTTAAGCAGTCTCTCAGCTCTTGGTAAGTTTGTCGTATTTTATATAAATCCATAATTACAAATCATAGGACTTGGTCGTGGTCAAACGGGACTCGGTGCAGCTCTAGAAAATATTAAAACACAAACAAAATCCAGTTCTGCGCAATCTGATCTAATAAATTCATCAAGTAACCAGGTGATCAACAATTTGCTACGTGATGATGTACAAGTAAGCTCCTGTTTATCATTGTAATGGTATATTTATGTTGTAAGTTACCCCGTTGTGTTGTCGATCGTTTAGACTAAACCGATTGCTTAATGTTTATAACTGAGTTGGTTGTAGATAGAACCTTTTATTGAATGGTTATGTAAGAAGATATTATATTACCAATCAATCACCTTATTAGATTATATAAGTTCATCCCAGTTCATCCGAACTGGGATTCTATCGATTGGCTACTTTAAATTCTTCAAAAATATTGTTTGCTTTTGAAATTAATTTCCAATCCATATTCTTAATCTCACGATAATTCTATCTGCCTGCGCTGTTTATTCATATAGTTGGAAATGCTGACGATGATCTCTTCGTCTTTGTTATGAAACATTGTCAACAGCAAGTTTCAAATTGTTTTCAAAGAATTTTGTTATTAAAAAGTCAGCTGGCAACTGTTATCAGTTCTCAAGTTCTAAAGCTGTTATGTTCCATTCTGATAGTGTTTTAGATTTGGAGAGTTGAACAAATATTTTGTATACTCTTAAAGTCGTACATCGTTTTAATTTCAGTTACACTGTAAATTGTCCTAGATAATTTATTTACGAGCAAGTTCATATCATTGATATTACATGTTTAATGTTTTCATTCACTAGGGTGTTCGACTGAGTAAAGATGATGTCTACAAGGTATGTGTCATACTTGTTACAGCGGCATTTTGTTTGAAAACTGTTGAGGATTTGGAGAAGCGTCTAAAACATGAAGTGAGTCATAATTAGTTGTTCTTTTTATAAAGAAACCTTATTTACATTATTATGTCTGCCAGATTTATTACACTATACCACGAATGTTATCATTTTTTAAAATTTTATATATAGATGCAAGTAGACTACTGTTAATATATTCTTAAAGATCGTTTCATTTTAAATGAATTTTTAATTTTCATAAAAAATGTTAGTCATGAATCTTTTCGAACTTTAAGATCATAATTAGTATCTTATGTTTCATCCCACACACTTTTGCTGGGCAGGAATAGATCGTGTGTAACACCTAAAGAGAATCTCTTGGGTAACAGACAAGCCTTATCTGAAAGTTTACGGCTCTATCAATCTATGCCCGTGATTAACGTTGAAGCACCTCTCTTTAATAACATTGCCTTAGGCTAGGTCTTAATTGATATCATTGGGAGCCCATCTTAATCCTATTTAGTTCTACTAACTTTATACTATAAATTTTCTTAGGTGAACTGACTTAGTGTTCAGGTTCTTTCGTGTAAATTATTTTACTTAGTTTTCTATTTTACACTTCAGTTTTACATCATGGGAATTTTTATGATTCACTGTGTGTGTATGATTACATCTATGATTATAAGAATAGATCATAAAAATCTGCTAGATAAGTGTTGTCAGGTTTCGATTTATTGTGAGTAGTAGTCGTATTTACCAACTGCAATCTTTCATTTGTTATGTGAAATTGATATTTATTCACTTATTTTTAAACTAGATCAGACCACCTAGCTGGGGTTCGAAAATATCATTTGCTTCCGAAATTGATGGTTTGGCAACTTGTAGATCCGTTTGTGTCCACCGCCTGGTTGCAGACCTGGAGGCTGGTATTGAACCGCAGCTAGTCGCTATGGCACGTTTACCTTGGAATAATCTTGTACAAGTTGGAGACCAAAGTGCTTATGTTACAGCCATTGTAAATCATCTTCGCAATCAAATTCCATTGATACGAGAAACACTACACACAGTCAGGTAATTTTTCTATTTTCTTGATGAATTAATGGCGCTTTTATCGCAATCAATTGTCTTATAATGCCTTTTTATGCATTATTAGGCCAGCTTTTACCCAGATATGTATAAAATTCGCTGATGCATTGATTGCAAGATTTGTTAATTCTTTATATCGTTGCAAACCGGTCAATACTTTTGGAGCAGAACAGCTTCTGTTGGATACCCAGTCATTAAAAGCTTCTCTTCTTCAAATGCCTCTTCTCGGAGCTAAGGTAAGCTGATATAATCTGTTGTTTTAATATATATATATACCCTTAACCTTCATATGAATGTGTTTTCATATCATGTACAATTCGAAAATATGGGTTTCTTGTCTAATTATTTCATCAATTTGCTTATTATGTTAAATATACCAGTCTCTTTCCTTAGGGTTATGTTAAAAATCAATTTTGAATGTTCTTCATTTCCTTTCGCTCGTGCATCCTGGGACCATCGAGTGAGCAACGCTGGTGTTCGGAAAAGTGTACTAGGTATTGATGACAAATCAGTTGATGGAGTAGTGGATCTTCACCAGTTTAGGTGGTTGGGTCATGTGTTACGTATGCTCAACCACTGACTGCCTTGGCGAGCAATGTTGTCTGATGGTAGGGGCAGGCTGGAAGAAGGCACGAGGTGGTTAAACCAAAACTTGGCATAAATCCACGAAGTCACTGACTGTTATGCTCGTCACTTGATATGCTTGAACTATTATGAGTTCACCTTAGTCGGTAAACGAGAGCTAAGACAAGTGATCCATTGATACGATAGGCTACTCTAATCCGAACGTCCCAAGGCCCTGCTAACGGTATTAAAAAGTCTTGGTATAGCGTAGAAAGTGTATTCCACAAGCACCCAGAAAATATGAGGTCTTGTACAGAAGGAGAAGAGAAGCATAAAACATTACAGATAACACATATTTATACAGTCAGGTCGACCGTGAATACTAACCAGTAGGAGGCAACATTGAAAAGTATGCGAACTTAATAGTTTAGGACAACCTTAAATATTTACCAGTAGAGACTGACCAGTTGAATTAGACTTACAAAATAGTTTCTTTAGGATATTTTATGAATATCCCAACTGACAACTGGGCTGGGCCGTTTTACTAGGCTAGACAATAGTAACTGATGGTTAGAGATTTTAAATGACATGTCTGAAAATCGTTTGCAATCGTACGTACATGCCAAGTCCGAGGTTGTTGTTGATTACCGAACGTTTCATTTAAATCTTCGTGCAGTTCTATATTAAAATATTTTTATTCAAAAAAAATGTTTTTATTCCGTGTTGCAGTAGTTGTATCACACTTGATTTTTCATAGCGAATATTATGCCTTTGTTCAATTAAAATAATATTTAATGCTTTGTATTTGCATTATATATATAGTTCATTCAGGCACCTCCTCGAAGCTTTACAAATGTAGTTCATGAAGGCATGGGAAAGGCAGAACGCATAATTAAAGCAGTAATGCTACCAGTTGGTGTCGTTTCACAAGGCAAACAAGAATCAGCAACTCCTCCAAGTGGATTTATAATGGGTCCGGTGGATACAAATGCAGCTAATATATTTTTAGCGAGTTACGAACAATTATTACCTGATCTAACTCAAATCGATCTACAAAATGTTTTAGATATGAAAGTAAGCAATATAATGAACGACTTGTCGTTTGATAAATAATTATATTCCCTTATTATGTATTCTATTTAAGTGTTATTTATCAATAATACCACTCTCGTTAATCATTCGCTGTAATTTCTTAAACGTAAATATTGTTAATTAATTAATTAATTGGCATAAACTCTTTTATAAAGTCAACATTCAGCAAATATTAAAAGGTAATACTATTTCAGCGGACTCTAGACCGATCTACCTAAACAAATACTTGTCTGGAAGCGAATCTTCTGTTAAGTTCGCTCCAGTGGTGACATCTTTCAAAAAATCTGTGGCAGAATATTTCAGGCGATAGAAAAACCGATTGTTACTTTATTCTTAGCTAGACAATCTACCAATCATATATTAAAGCATGACTAGTAATTATTCCGTATATGGTCTAATGTGAAAAAATGTAAACTATAATCGGATTGTCTAATTTGAAAGATATTTAAATCCTTTTATGTTTACCTGGTCTCCTGAGATGACAGCTACAAAGTCAGCGTCACCGGCTGTTTCTCTATTTTTCCTTTCATTATTCATAATTTGTGATCTGTTAATTAATTCATAGTCACGTTGTTTTGATTGTAATTCTTCCTGTTTTATCCCATTTAAAATAGTCCAGTCAATTAGCTCGTGTTTCTTTTTTTAACATTCTCTTAGTTGCAATTCATAACATGCTTTTGTAAACAATTTCTGCTTCGATCATCTAAGCTTAGTGTTTTATAATTATCACTTGTCTCTGTATTTTGTTTGTTGCTAGCCTCATCATCATGTGAATGTTAGGATGGAAACGTAAGCTACAAAAGCACTTTGATAAGTTATTCATATTCAATGAATTTGAATTTTCATTACATGCTCGAAACAACTGTAAATTAGTGACGTTTTAGATATCCTCTTCTATCTTAGCAATAGTCTAATTGTTGACTGACTGATCCACCAGGGACTCCAGTAGCCAAAGCCCCACGAATCAACAGAACCAGACAATTTACCTCCCTCATTTTTAAAGGTGGCTGCGATCTGACTTTGAAACTGAGTGGGTTGTTTACAACTATCTGGCGACTAGAGAGTGTTACAACACTGTGGAGTCGATAGTTATCCCTAACTTTGAAAAAGGTTCACGTCATTTATGTAACAACTAATGAAGGATAAGTCTAGTACCTATTATATCGAAATTATTGGTTCCCATCATACTTCGGGAAAGACTGACTCCAGAGCAGTAAGCTGGTTTTCGTCCTCACTGAGGGTGCGTTAATTATATCTTCGTCCTCCACCGAATGTTAGAACATCGCCACACTTATCGCAGGACAACGGTTTCTTTGTTTTTGACATTAGGGTCGCCTTGGATTTTTAGATGGTGGAGAAACCTTGTAGCTCAGGTGGATTGTTGTTTTTCTCTGAGCTCAGAGAACGGAACACCACAATCTCCTTGGATTCGTCGAACATGGTTATTCTCTAGGATTTTCTGTTGAAGAAGAGTGTGCCTAAGAAGTCTATTGACGCTGTACATTCGAACACCTCATACAGAGTGGGGGCATACAGCCACATTTCTCCATTGTTTCATCCAAGCAGTGGGGTTGGTCTTGGTTGCCTAGTCTCACTATTCCTTCCGGATTTTGTCATGGACGACGTCCTGGAAGCAGCTGTGATGTGTGTGCGTAATGAGAGTGTGCATCTGTTACCTCAAGAAAGACTTTACCACCTTGAGTATACGGATGATATTGTCTTACCATGAGATTATATCCAAACCATGCAATTCGCACTTAACCAGTCGGCAATCAATCTTCTTTAAGCACAATATATACTTTTCATCTTCCAAGTTTAAAGTACTTTTACAAGACTTAGTATCCTGTCTGCACTCACTTCTTGGTGATGAGTAGCCAGAAGTAGGCGAGAAGTTCATATATTTGATAGCTAGGTAAGTGTTGATAGTGTTGTGGTTGATGGAATCATTTCGTGTATAGTGAAAGCCAGAACGACTTATACCAATCTGAGCTATGTATGGCACCTCTGTGATGCAAATTAGGTTGTAAAAGGTCAGATTTACAACTCGTCAGTGAGATCACTTTTACTCTTCTTGTGAAACCTGGCTCCCAAGTTGAGGACGTTAAGCGACTCTGTCTTTGATTATCGTTGCCTCTAAAGAAGTGCTAACATTCAGTAGCAATACCATGTTACTAATCCGGAGGTTGGCAACATGTTTTCGGGCACATTGATGACGATTTAAGTGGTATCGCCATCTTGCAACAACGACTTTTTTAACTTGAAGATGTGCTGCGATTGTCGTCCCAACGAATTCCACATCATGCATTATTTGCCAAAGGTGAAACTGGTTAGAAAAAAAGGAGAGGTGGTTGGTGTATGGTATGGTGTCGTGGTATGAAAGAAGGCTGTACATGACCGACTTCTGTCGGTCCTTTACGACTCCGTGGTTAGGGTCTTAGCGATGGTTCATTGGACTTGTTTGAGACTTCATCAAGCATATTTCAGAACAGAAGCCGATGATGTTTATGCTGTAACTGTCCTTTAATTTCTTCTTTGATGAAAATAATTGTCTGCGGTTGCATCATACTTGACTGAACTCACTAATTTTATTCATTTTTGTTCTTTCATTATATATATATTCACCGTTCGTTATTGTATTGCGCATATATACGCTGGTTCCTTTTCGTACCAATTTTTGTGTTTGTAAATTAATAAATTGTTTGGTGTATTTTCTTTTGTTGGTTGTTTGATACAGAAAAAGTTCGACTATTTAAATTTTTAGATTAAATTAAGAAAATGACTTGTTTGCTGTATATTTTTTCAAAAAGTAAACGTTTTCCAACTCTCCTACATACTGTTTTTAAGCCTCAATTTGAGCTTCTGGTGGGTCTTTTACTTCCGCAAGTGCTATTGGTTTTGGAGTTCTAATAATTCAGAAAACCTGGGAGTTCTAATCATTGCAGTCTCTGTCGTGCTATGTACATAAGCTAATAAACTCTACATATACACCGTTCCAAATCGGAAACTGATGAGTTTGTAAAACGCTCTCATATGACTGTCTGATTATTCTTTGATTTCTTATGTTCTTGAAACTTTACACTTTGTTGTGGCAACACAATCAATTTTGCGGACAGTTAAATGTGTTCACTCTTATGCTATTAGCTTTCGTCGGTTTTGTCAAAGTGGGAATTAGATTTGGAAATTCTATACGTAATTAGTTTTAGTCTTTATTCGAAAGCGAACTACCTTCGAAAATACAATCTATTTCTAATTCACTAAAGTACAAAAAGATTTACTCATACTACAATTTAACCCATTCACTCGATTACTTTTATATATCAAAACATACTTGGCAGCATTTATATAGTCTGCTTCTCTACTGGTGTACTCGCTTAAACGTGTATCGTCGTGAACTGTCCAATCGAAATCTTATATTAAATTTACAAATTAATTCATTAACACTACTGAGTTTTTATTTTCTTTTAGGGTGTGAAATTCAGTGAACAACAGTTGATTTTAGAAATATTTCGTAGTAGAAATGAATTTAAATCAACAATGAAAGAAAAAACACCTGAAGTGAATTTATTTTGTTCCGTTTCGGATACTGCTATCACTACTAGTAGTATTATTACTACTACTACTACGACTAGTGACGTAACTTTGACGACGATAACGTCAGTTACCATGACCACCACTGCTCCTACGAGTTCTGTAGTAGCTACTCCGAACTCTCCAAATAATCGACTCCAAAAATCGAGGCAGTCTATGTCGACCTCAACGAATCCGTTCGATTCACCACTGTCAGTCGAAGAGCGGAAGCAAATAACCGATCGGAAAGGAAGAATAGAAAAATTATTGAATAAAAGACGATAGGACTATTATTGAATTTTAGCTGTTCAGTGTTGATTTCAATGAATAATCAAGATCTATGTTGTTGCTGTTACTCAGTCGAGTTTATTCTATTCCTTTTTCGTTTTGTTTTGTTAAAACTTATCTCTCAGTGTGTATAACAAGCTTCCTTTACATACGTATTTATAAATCAGTTCTACTGCTGTTATTACCGGTTTGAAAATATCGTACTTGGATGTTTTATCGAATCTAATTTCCTTTCACTGTATTTTATATTACCTACTGGCTATATTGTGATAAAATGTTTAGGGATAACTTTGTCTGTTCCTGTTGGTTCCTGCAATCCTGTAGTAAGGATTGAAATACCACTTTGTTTACTGATAATTTTTCTCAAGAACACTATCATGCATATCTATTCAGTGTGGCGGTTATCATATCAGTGTTTAGTTAATTACTAATATTTATTTTGATATGCTAAATAAAAACTAACATGAAAAGGTGACTTTTTCTGGTTATCTGCATAAGCCTATTTTTAACTTAATATTTCAGAGACATTTCTCCTTCATCCGCTCAAGTTCTATAAACATTGGTCTGTGCGATTGTATTGTTATAACATTTTAAGTGTAGGGAGTATTAGTTTTTTTACGTCTTTCAAACTATTTTCATATGTTCTGGTTAGTGTAGTTAGTCGTAACTAAGTGAAGAACTGAAAAATTGGAATACACACCGTACTCATGTTTAAAAGAGAACATTTTCCTCAACTGATTTCCTTTGTTTCCACAAGATATGTAAGCTGACATTCAAAATCTCCTAACCAACTTTTTCAGTTCAGTTTAGTAACCGCCAACTGATGGTTATAAGACCTTTGCAGAACAGTAAAAAACCAATATTATTCACAGTATTCTGTGCATTAGTTTTTTCGTACTTCTAGGAGACATCACTTACCGTATTAGTGAATTATGTTAACTATAGTTGACCAACAGGTAGCATATCATAGTCAGATAGGCTTCGTCTTAGGAGTTTGAAAAATAAGATGCTTTTCCTATAACTGGACTTCGGAAGTTTAAACTCCCTAATTTTATACACATTATTCAAAATGGTTGTGTCAAGTTGTACCCGGTACTCTTAAGAGACTTTTAACTTATGAATGGCATTAATTAGAGGCTTAATTAAGTCACTTAAAATATTGCTATGATTTCAGCTTAAATTTAAACCTAAGTTGTAAACTATCAATAACTCTTAAACATATTGAAGAAAAATCGTAATTTGAAATCATCAATCAATCATTGTTAGACCACCATTAGAAACCTGGAAGCACTGGACGGCCGTTTCGTCCTGGTATTGGACTCATCAGCAGTGCGCATCCACGACTCCTGCACATCGCAGGATTCGAACCCGGGACCTTCGGTATTGTGCGCGAACGCCTAACCATCGGACCACTGGACCGGCTCCAACCGAACGGCCGTCCAGTGCTTCCAGGTTTCTAATGGTGGTCTAACAATGATTGATTATTTCAAATGTGTAATAACATAAATCTCCAAAGCTCTAACTGAAAAAATCGTAATTGTCAATGGAGTTTTGTATGTAGACAGATCTGTCCATAGATTGATTGTAAATAAGTTCGCCTTTCCTATAAATCAATAGTTTTCGAATTTCTCATTATGCCGTAGAAATGAAAAAAAAATCAATTGCGTATCATGTTTGTGATCAGACAGTGGAGTGTTATTTAGGTGGTAAATAGTTTACTTTTTAAATTTGGAAAATTTTCTCTTCTCAGACCTGAAAAATACTAGTGATTGAATTTGGCGGAGATCATGTGTGATTACTTAGGTTATATATTCGAGATTACGAATACTGGACGTAAGCATAATCTTGCTAAGAAATAAGACAGTAAAACTGAGAATGAATTCCTTTATTTGTATATATATACTATATTAGTATATGAGAAACAGTTGATTCCATGGATGTAAAGCCACTTCTTATGGTCTTAATTAGCTAGTAACGATGATTACATATAACCCAAAGTACCTACTGTGTACTGATAGTTGCACGTCTATTGAACGAAATCGATTATCATATAATTTGTTTGGCAAAGTGATGGTAGCAATTGTAAGGTTTTTGAAAGTCAAGTCTGAACACGTCAGTAACGAGAACAAATCACAGCCCAATCACAAAGGATACTATAGCATTATTTTAGTTATCAACTATAAACTAGTCATCATTAAAGTATGGAATAATTAAGAAAACACGTTTACTTTTATCTTTGTGTAAAAATCTAGTTTGATGTCTGTTATGCTTTCATAATGCCAGAAATTTATTAGGTATATCTTGTTAAAGAAGATTACAAAAATACATCAGTGAGAAAACTTAATTTTGCTGAAACATCACTCGGCTATATAACTAATTTCATATCACACAATACATTCTTTCTCATACCATTTCTTGGTAATCTTGACTATCAATGATTTGCTAAATGAAAGTACCAAATGCCTCTTGTTTTCACAAATGAAATATTAGCAAGTATCCCTTATTTACACACCGTTTATATTAATTCAATGGGAAAGTTCCAGTAGTTTTCAAATCAAGTCTAGACTAGACAATTTCAATGCAAATCCATTAGTTTGCTTAAGATTGAGACTGGAACAATTCTCTTAAGCTGAAAATCAAAGAATTTTTGTAGTCACTTAAAAAGCTTAAAGCACACCTATAACAATCAGAATCACATGTGTTTGACTTACCGAGTTCATAGCCGCATTATAAGACTGAATAAATACTATCGACTTTGCTGTGCTCTGTTTCTTATTATCCAACATATCTACACCAACAAAATTATCTTCATTTTGATTGATCATAACATAGATTTTACGTTGTATTGATGGCGTACATATATTTGTATATAAGTATTCTTGGTCAACCAACATGCCTGCTGCACATGCACATCGCTGCGTTGATATACAGCACAAGGATTCTCACTGATGCCATCAGTAATCACCCCTGCCCCTTTCGGGTACATACATGTTGTCCGGGTTGGTCTGCAGACATATCGGACATCCAAAAAGCGCGCACACGAGCAGTGGCCTCTGCACAGGCACTTATGAATCAAAAGATCCCACCTACCAAACCACAGCCCACAATCCCCAATCGGCAAGGCGGGCTTATCCTTCCGGACAAGGCACCCCGTAGCAGGTTACCGAGCCACCCAAGCAGTGCACTAACCAGCAGCCATTCCAACCGTCTGGCCTCCAACTGCCTTGCATTGATACAATCGATCGAGGCCCATCTTACCCCACATAAAGCTAAAGATCGAGTTTGTCCCACAAGGTCAGCTAGAACGTACACCCTTCCATGAGGAAGGTGTCATGAACTCGACCAAACGCAAGCGCTCAGCCAAGCAGGGCTCATCCCACAGAAGTGGGCAGACATCATTGGTGTTCAATGCCTTTTACAGCACTAAAGCACCGGAACCCAACTTGAGACCCTTGTTTAAGGGGCCTCGACGCCAGTTCACACACAACATCGAGTGAAGCATGTAAGGGACAACCACATAGGGTCGGCGTCAGTAGTACAGGATGTATGCGGCTGCATCCCCGAACATAGGGTCCAGGGCCGCCCTCGATCACCCTACTACATCCCTTTCGGTAGTTTACCTACGCTTAAGGACGGGATTCGGACCTAGAGTCGTTCAGTCTTAATCCCCCAGATTGGTCAGACGCCTCCACAGCCTTGCGACCATGAGCGTGCCTAGTATCCGGACCGTGGAAAGCAAGGAATCCCCAGCGATCGGAACGACGTTTAGCCGCAGCGATGTTGCCACCACCACGTTGCCTGGCGGGACCACGAAGAGGTAGTCGCCACCACAACCCCCTAAAGGCAGCACATTGCGTAATCCCGAGGCAAGCTCAGGCAGGTCGGCAATCCGCCCCTCATATGACGAGGCATTTGGCTATCTTAAGAGAGTCATAGTTACTCCCGCCGGTTTCTAGTATGGATTGGATCAAAACTAACCATCGGAAAGACGTTTCCCCACGACCTTTCTTTATTTTTCAGTAATCTTCAACTAGTCATATATTCTATCCAAATCAATATTCAGATGTAACTAGTGCTATTATGTAATTGTGTTACACACATATGGTATAGTTGTGTACGGTTTATCTCAGTTATTTTCCAAAAACTGATCATTCTTCAGTGATATGACAGTGTAGTATAATTGACATGAAACTTTCATATCATTACCAGCAACAGCATGCTTGAATGATTGTATTTAGTACTACAAATAAATTTAGTTCAATATGGATGATTTGTTTAACTTACAAAAATAGTTAGACTTCTACTTGAATGTATTAGAGCATAGTCAAAGTAGTGAGTTATGTAAACAAAAAAATTATCAGAAATGCTTCAGAGCGTTTTATTTTAAGTTGTCAAGTAAATCTCTTAAGTCATTGAACTGATTTTCAAGAAAGGTTTCTCTACTATAGGATGTTAGCTTTTGGAAATATTACCACATCATTATAAATAATCAGGTATGATAGATAAAAACATTTGATTAAGATAACTGTAACTGGTATGACAACTTGGACTGATGTATGTACGTACGAAGTCCTACGTTGTAACTGACTGACTGACTCATGATGAGAGCCGAGTTCCTTCGGAAGTCACTAGGCCGATGCCCCTTCTGACAACCACAACAACCATTCTTTTAGGTACATGAACTGTTCGAACAATGTGGGAGACGCGAAGACTATTTCAAGTTGCCGCAGAAATTAGGAGACACAACCTGGAGGTTCTTTGAATCAGTGAAACACATTGGATACAGGTAGGACAACTGAGACTAGCTTCAGGGGGACTGCTGTTATACTCTGGCCATGAAGAGGAAAATGCTTCACATACGCACGGAATTGCACTGATGCTGTCCAAACAAGCACAAAAGGCACTGATAGGATGGGGAACTCATGGACCCAGGATCTTCAAAGCGGAGGAAGAGGGCAATACGATGAATGTCATCCAATGCTATGCACTTACAAACGACTACGATGATGTTCAAAATCAATTCTACTAGAGGCTGCAGTCAATTTCTGAAAGATGCTCATCAAAGGATTTGAGCGTTCTGACGGGAGACCTAGATGCCAAGGTTGGCATGGACAACACTGGATATGAAGACATAATGGGACGACATGGAATGAGAGAAAGGAACGTAACCGGTGATAGATCTGCACACTTATTTGCCTTCAACAAACTGGTCATCGACGGCAAAATATTCCCACACAAACGCATACACAAAGTTTCATGGATTTCACCGGATCACACTACTCAGAACCAAATTGACCATATCTGTATCAATAAAAAGTTCAGAAGGACCATGGAGGATGTGAGAACCAAAGGAGGAGCTGTTATAGCCTGAAATCTCCACTTGCTGGTGGCTAAAATAAAACTGAAACTCAAGAAAAACTGGTCAACATCACAAACCTTTCACACAGCGTTTCTTCGGGATACTCTACGAATTCAAGATAGCTCTCACCAATAGGTTCCAGGCCTTCTACGATCTACTCAATGGAGAGGAAGCAACCATGGAAAATAATTGGAATGGGATCAAGGAAGCAATCACTTCAACATCTCAGGAGGTTCTTGGCCACAGGAAGTACCATCACAAGGAATGGATCTCTGTTGGTACTCTTGAAAAAATTGAAGAAAGAAAGAACATGGAGTCAGCAATCAAGATCAGAGGGAGTAGAGGCACAAGCTGAATACACAGAAGCAAACAACTAAGTGAATAGGAGCATCATAGCCGACAAACGAAAATATGCGGAAGATCTAGCAATGACACAGGAAAGGACTGCAGAATAAGGAAACTTGAAACAATTGTCCGGTACAATAAAGAAGTTTTCTGGAAATAATCGTAAACCAAAACGACTATTAAAAAGCAAGGAATGCAAAGTAATCATCAACATTGAAGAACAGCAAAACAGGTGGGTCGAGCACTTTTAGTTACTCTTTTAATCGACCAGCCCCACTGAACCCACCCAACAACGAAGTAGCATCCACGGGCCTTCCAATCGATGTTGGCCCACCAACAATTGAGGAGATCAGTATGGCCATCAGACAAATCAAGAACGGCAAAGCAGCGGGACCAGAAAACATTCCAGCAGAGGCAACTGCAAAAATATTCCACATTCTCTTCAAAAATGATTTGGGATACAAACAAGTAGCGACAGACTGGAAGGAAGGATACCTCATCAAAATACAAAAGAAAATAGATCTCAGTAATTGTGAGAACTACATCATCATCATTACTCTTCTCTCAATACGAGGCGAAGTCTTCAACAGGGTTTTGTTAAACAGAATGAAGGACATCGTAGACGCCACACTTCAAGATCGACAGGTTGGATTTCGTAAGGATCGATCGTGTACTGACCGAATTGCAACATTACGGATCATTATGGAACAATCAGTTGAATGGAACTCACCATTCTACATCAACTTCATTGAATACGAGAAAGCATTTGATGCCATGAACAAGACAACACTATGGAGGCTTCTTCGACACTACGAGAAGATAGTCAACAGCAGACGGAATTCTTATGATGGATTAAAGTGCAAAATCGTGCACGGAGGTCAGCTGTTAAACTCGTTTGAGGTGAAGACCGGTGTCAGGCAAGGTTGCTTACTCTCACCCTTTCTCTTTCTCCTGGATTATGAAGACATCACCATATGGAGGGAAACTCGGTATCCAATGGACAGCTAGGATGCAGCTGGACGATCTGAACTTCGCAGATGATCTGGCTCTTCTATCGCACACGCAACAACAAATGCTGGAGAAGACGACTAGTGTTACAACAGCAACAGGCTTCAATATACATAAAGGGAAAAGAAAGTTTCTGCACCAGCCAAATCAGTGTTGATGGCGATGCCTTGGACGACATAAAAACCTTTACATATATGTGCAGCATCATCGACGAGAAAGGTGGATCCGATGCAGATGTGAGGGTGCAGATTGGCAGAGCAAGAACAGCATTTCTACAATTGAAAAACATCTGGAACTCCTGACAACTATCAACAAACACCAAAATCAGAATTTTCAATACAAATGTCAAGACAGTTCTACTGTATGGGTCAGAAACTTAGACAACTACCAAAGCCATCATCTACAAGGTACAGGTATTCATTAACAGTTGCCTACGCAAAATACTTCGGATCCGTTGCTCATACACCATCGGTAACAACCTACTATGGGAAAGAACAAACCAGATTCCGGTGGAGGAAGAAGCGGTGGAATTGGATAAGACAGACATTGCAGAAAACACTTAACTGCGTCACGAGACAAGCCCTCACTTGGAACCCTCGAGGTCAAAGGAAAAGAGGAAGACCAAGGAACATATTACGCCGAGAAATATAGAAATACATGAGAAAAATGAAGAAAAATTGGAAACAACTGAAAAGGGAAGCCCAGGACAGAGTAGGTTGGAGAAAACTGGTGGGCGGCCTATGCTCCATATAAGGTAACAGGCATAAGTAAACTAATGAACGATGAATAAACTGTTCTCGATTCTCCGTGCTTTTTCGAGTGGTACTTAATAAGCATGGATAATATAGTATGGATACTGTCTCCAGAAAAATAAGCTAGTTAGTCTGTCCAAAAGCTCGGATAAACCATATAGGTATGACCTAGTAGTAAACATTACATGTTAATATATATACACTGTGCATTTGAAATTATTGGGATGGTTTAGTCTTTTTTGTCACAAGAATGTATGAGGCTTAGGAGAAGTAACGTTTTCGAGAAATTTCGGTTCTCAGAAAAAAGCATCTAGCATCACGTTTTATAGAATAACCAAACTATATGGTTGAAGATCTAAAAGTATGCTTATAAAAGGTTTTTGAACACTATTTCATGGGCCAAAGCTCTGCGTACTTATAGTCCAAGCTAAGGGGTACATTTGTACACACATTTATATATTCAGTAAGCAGGAGTGTTTTGCACAAAATTTTTCTTACGGTTCCTAGCACTAATGAATAGGATTTCACCCATCCTCGTGTTTAGACAAATTCTAGATTGACTATATATATTTCATACCAACTATGGTCAACTGACGTTTCATGTCAGTTAAATTAAAGAACAATGGTTTATAAGAAAAAAGCGAACGTGCAATTAATTCATTTTGTTATTTTTATTTCACCTTTATACTACCGGTCATAATGATCATGCTTTAGTGAAAAAAAAACTATTCATCAATATGTTCAATTTACATCGAAATATCAAAACATACTGATAGATAAAGCATCATCAGCCACAACTTTATCCTCAATATTATGTGACTTTTTAGTGAACTCACTAATGTCATCACAAAATTTGTTAATTTTTTCTTGAAGTTCTATTTGTTCAATTTTAAGGAAATACAAACATCTCTTCAGCCTTTGTTCTCTTGGAGTTGTTGGAGACATTAAAGAAGGTCTTGAGCTAATGCTTCGCATGGAATCAACCTGATCGTTCTTATTTATTGACAGGCTTGCACTTGGTGGACATGATCTTGATGATTTCATTTGTCGATTTTTTCGACGTTCAACTCGAATTTGATTTTCTAACTCCAGATAGGATCTAGAAAGAAAGCGTAATTTCCTTTGAGATGCGGAACCGACGGCTGATGTCAAATTTTTAAACAAAGTAAACCGAGATGACACTGGAGTGGTGGTTGGTCTTCTTTTGATTCGTCTAGCCTTTGGAGCAGATAGTGTCAGCCTAGTCTTCGGCCGTGGTAAAGGTCCTGAAAAAAACAAACAGAAAAGCATCGACACTTTTCATTGCAAAATATTATTGTAGGTAAAAGACATGGCTTCCTTAAAATCAATCAACGAGGATTAATTTTATAATTACGATATAGTAATGCAGAATTGTGACATAAATGGTGATCACTACATCTGATAATATTCAGTCTCGGTAAAATATCTTTTAAATTCATGTTCTCGTTCCCACAAAAATATTCAGCAAAATCTATGAGAATGAAAAGTGTACAAGCAAAGCGAAGCGAAGTGCAGAAGTTGAGTGATCAAGCTCAATGCGATAAGGCATGACTGAATATATAAAGTCAGGCGTAATAGGGTTAGACATGTGATGAGCAAAGTAAGCATGCATACACACGCTCAAATAATGACAACCAAAATATAAGCGAATAATTGGCGAGATTGAAAGACGAATGAAAAATGACTCGGGAAGAATGGATTCATTAGTATGTTCAAAGGTTAGAACAAGCCCAGTTCTTGACATATGTGTACACAAACTACAATACATAATGCATACTAACTTTTAAATTCCTCCTGATTCCTTTTGAAAATGTGAAAAGTCTTGCTTTCATGCTTTTTTTCACGATGAGAGTTCTTGAGAGCTGATTTCTTCACCGACTTTTCTTTCGCTGATACTTTAGTAAAAACTGTCGGCGATGAGTCCAGTTTTAATTTTGTTTCGTTCATAAAGTTTGGAAACAATCGATTATGACCTTTGAGTACTTCTTGCCATAATCCTCTACTGGAGTCGACAGTAAACTTCTGAAATTCAATTAGTTATAAAATATTAAACGTGTCTTATATAGGTAATTTTTGAATGAAAAAGTTATTTTGGTAGATGTAAACGTAAAAGGAGTTCACTACTACCGTAAACTTACACCGAGATGCTTTCCACTAAACTGGAACTCATTAAGTAAAGTAATACCGTAGAAAACCTTCAATGCCAGTATATGTGAAGGAAGTAGTCACCAAAAGTAGTGAAAGATAGTAGCTCAGTATCGTGGATAGCCTAAAGTTAGACATATACACCACTGGATCCCGACCTAATAGTGTTGCATAGTAGTATGAAATGGCTGTCCAGTGCTTCCAGGTTTCCAAAGGCTGTTTAATTAAGTTCGGTTCTTGATTTCATTGGAAGCCTTTGTAGTGTGCGTACTTTTATGTATAGCCTACAGGGTTTGTCTCAGCCTTCGGACAATTCAGTCAATCCATTCTACCCAAATTATTACTCACATAAATGTTAACCTTTGTCAATCCTTTACTCATATCATGATAGTTGTCATTCTACTATGTGTGTGCATGTCTCGCTTACTTTTGTCTGACTATAAATACCTAGTCGTATCTCAGTACATCGAGTTGGCTGACTCGCCTTCTCCACTTTGGTTCACTTTGCTTGCACACTATTCATGCTCATATCTACCTGTGTGAGCAAAATAAATTCATCGGCGAAATCGTATTTGGCTTCTTATTACCGCCTCCACACAAACGTATTTCGCCTAAGTATGATATATAGAAACTAAGGGAAGAATTATTTCATTGAGTATTTAGTTTTTCATAAATACTGGATTCAGAGCTCGGGTTACTAAACTGGTGACCCGTACTTTGAGTTCAACGCAGTCATTACAGTAGAAAGCCCGATATCGAACTAACGCAGCCACTAAACCTTTAATATTTAGCAACTTTTGGAGTAATTGTATATTTTAGGTTGCTACAAGTGAAGTAAATGGCTGAAAAACTACTTTGAACTATGGATGATCACTAAGTTTCTAGTTTTGAGATTCCATTTCTACTCCTCAAAGTAAACTAGTGAAAATATTGTCCATAGAATATTAAGTCTTTCAAAGAGTTTTACCACTAAAATCATTCGTTCAAAAGTGAAGAAAAAAATATTCATAGAACAAGAAAAAGAAGCTACGAAAGTTACACAAGAAATTTTCACACTTTAGTTACTTCACTTCTTCACCAATTTATACAGCTCTATGATTCAGTGATAATAAGGTTTAGTTTTGTTTTCACTCGATTACTTTTAACTATGTGTTTAAATAAAACTAAAATTTTATCTTAAGAAATGGACAAGTGAAGTTATGGTACGATAGCAAACTATTTATGATAAGTACTTTTTGAGATCATCATGACTCTTCAGTCAGGATACTAGCCATGGGTAATTGACTTGTCTGAAGCTTAATCAGATATGACTCAGATTTATTTTATATTCTTTATAAAATTAAGAGGAAATTCAGGTTATATTTCTAGTCGCACTGTATCTCTTATTATATATACTAATCCTGTTCATATATTTTATTATTTCTAATTGTACTTCTCTGTTCTCAATTTTTTTCCCCCCACAATATTACCGTTACATTCAGGTGATTCTTTTCTTAGTCACTTGTATTGACACGGCTTTTGTAGATTGAATAAATTAAACAGTGTTCTAATGTAAGTCTTTCGGTTTCATTGACAGATATTTTTCAAGTATCTTGTAATTGAACTATACGTAAAATTTCATTAGATAATTCTACATTATCTTGTGAATAGGTTGTGTTTTTTTTTGTAATTATTTAAAGAACAAATGTTTGTGATTCGCAGTAAATGTCTTCAATTTCACTGACGACTGTGAACATTTTCATAGTAATGAAATATTTTTCCTAAATACTCTCTAATGATAGATAGTCTAATATCAATTAACTGAACGAAACCCTACTATAAATCCTGCCAAAACACAAATTAAGACTTACAGTTCTGTCTATTTCGTCAACTTCTTTATGAATTTCATACAACTGACCAATAAGGCGCTGCTTTGCTATCTCCTGTTTAAGAGTTATCTCATTTTTCTTCTCTAGTGAAATTTCTTCAAGCTTTTTGTTCACTTGATCAACATTCTTATCTTTGGACAATGATTTTAGAAAATTCCAGTGTTTATTTTGAGCAGCAGACATTTGGTTAATTTCATATAAATGATTCATTTCTTGTTTGTGGTGTCTTATTGATTAAAATCAGTTGACGAAAATATCCTTCAATTTTTGTATGATCAAAAATATATTTTCAATTGACTTTATTGTTCATAAATAGAAAATGATTTATCGCCTATTTATTTATTCACTAGCTGCTTAGAACAGCAAGTTGCTTGACTACAATGTTTGTCTTCGTGTAAACCGATTCTTTTGAGTTTCATTTTAATTGTTTAGCTTAACTACCAGAAACTCTTTACTAGGCATATACTAAGCAATTTTATCTAGATCATTATATTTCTTGACTCATTCGAATATGAGTTGACCTTAGCGGTGTTTTTAGAAAACTGTATTCATTTTATGAAATGACGAATTATTAATAACCCTTATTTTGTTTGGCATATTAAAACGTTTGCGTAGCAGACTTTTTTTTTTTCTCTGTGAATTGTTGATATTGCTATTGAGATAATTTTTCTACATTTGAGATTAGAATTGAAGTCAATTGCAAATATGTTTATGATACAAAAAATTGAAGGATATTTTCGTCTTAATTTGTGTTTTGGAAGATTTTACAGTAGGATTTCGTTCAGTTAATTGATATTCTACTATTATTATAGTGTATTATTCATTTATTTACGCTAAACGTGTTTGAATTTTCGTGACAAGATATAAATCGACAAGTGTGTAATGTACATTTATTTGTTTTGCTAAACAGAATGCTACAAAAAGGATTCATAAGCATCATGATAAACATTGAAGTTTAATTTTAGTAATCACATAATAATTTTAAATAATCTATGTTTGCAACATGTATTCATTATAGTGAGTATTTGATGAACACAGAAGCCTTAACTAATTATACTACTCATTTTTTCGTTGATTCATGAATTCATTTTTAATAAATCAAATGAAAATAATCTTAAGACACTTGACTAAAGTGAATCTGTTGATGAACTTAATTAGCTGTTGTTTGAATGACAGTTTTACTCGCATCTCCACATCTGAAGGGCTAAATCGAACCTGATATTATCTACTGAAATGATAATTGATTGCGGCTGATATATATATGTCGTTGCCAATAATTATCCGACATATTTTTTTTCTTCATTTCCTTTTATTTCAACACTTCTGAGGCTAGTTCATTGACTTTTTTTTTAATTTGGCTGTAAGTAAGATTCAAAGATGATTGAGTATGGTTTGCTAGAGATAACACATACTTGTTCCTATTATTAAACACATGAATTGCGATTGTTCAAAAATGTCCACCATTTCACATGTTAATGTTGATGAAATAATTGCTTAATAACACGGAATATACTCATCGAGACATAAAACAAGAAAAATTGGTTCAACGTGGAGTTCTCTTTTTGGCGAGCTCATTTTCAAAATTGTACAATTGCAGGTATATGTATATTTTTCTCCCATGTTGATAGTTACAATATTAGGGATAATAAAGTTTTGCCAAATATGGTAATAGTGAGTTAAATTAAATCAAGATATAAAACATTATTCTGATTAAGAGAATTAAAAATAATGTTATTATTGATGGTTTGAATATGGATTATAATGATTAATAAAGAAATGATAATCGAAAAGGAAAGACTCAACGCCATCAGATAACATTTTCAAATCGAGATGAATTTTAATCAGGAAGATCATAGAAACAGAAACAAATCAGTTGGATGTGAAAGATCTACAGAGAAGAAGATAGAAAAAAAGATGACTATGAGGAAAAAAATCTTCAATTTTAATTTATGAGAGATGAACACCTTGACAGGAGAAACAGTTGTATCAGTTTTTTCTGTAGGTGTCATTCTAGTTTTCCCAGATAGTATTTATTTTAAAGCCAAGGCTATTTGTAAATGATAGAGACATGGGTTTGTTTTTATTGGGTGATTGAGGATCGTATATGATAGGGGAAGTGTGATAACAACCGAAACACTCCACATCGCTTGAGCAACTCAATTATAATTTATTTGTATAGCTTGGTTGACCGATGTATTTCATAACTAATATGACGTAGTTGGAAATTTCCACTAATTTCTTTGACTTTTCAATTAAGTCTTTTAAATGTAAACAGTTTCTTCCATTTTCGGCGTAAACACGAATCGGTGTTGTGGATGACCTAAGCATTTTTTTCAATTGGTATATACAATGATTTTAATAAACCAAATGAACACTGTAATTAATGACATTTTTCTTAATCTACTCTATCACTTTTAACATACGAAGGTGGATTAATAAATGATGCTAAGAATTTTATGCTATCGTGTTAGAAAAATATAACTTAATTTTTCTGACTGACATAACTTCAGAGTTAGGAAAATAAAGATTTCCTACTGCACTTAATTTTAGATGGGGGAAATAGCCTGTAACCAACTATGATTAATGCTGATCATTTTAAAATTCTGGTGGTAGTGTTTGGTTCTCTGAGCTGGGTGTTTTGGTTGTGAAGCTTTCATTGTTCTTCTGAACAACATCATCAGCACAAACTTCTGATAGAAGTGAAGCATTCGAATTTCTCTACGTTTCACCTGTAGCTTGTTCTGCTAACCTCGATCTTGATTGGTTGCTGTTGACCTTAAACCTGTCGTCGTTTGCATCTTTGTTTTGATTGCATCCCCCTTTTAATCTGTTTCGTGATCCTATGTCACCTATAATTTTCCTGATTGGCTGGTAAATGGGGTCAATGTCGATGTGTTTGTTGATTGCTGATTGACCTGAGTGCCAAGCTTGGCACCACAATCATCCACCTGAGCTACAAATCTTCTCCACCATTCTTCTAATTATCCAACGAAACACAACTTACTTTTTCAAATCTTTTCAGATACCTTTCTTTAGTCGTTTGATTCAAAACGTTGAAAACTTTTCCGCGGATAGTTTCATTTTCGCATAAATCATGATCAGATAAACTTAACTAAGCCTGAACCTTTCCAAATAAGTGATTCATGCAATTCGTCATAGTTTAGCTTTAAAACAACAACAACAACAACAGGATATATAGATTTGGAATTGGCATCAATAAGAATTTTACTAATTAGATTATAACTTTGATAAAATTCCTCCAGTTTTTTCAGGGGCTACACCTTGAGCCAACTTCAAAATGTTTTTAATACGATTAACCAACATCAATGAACTTTCATAAAGTGGATAAAACACGGTATTATTCATAATATAAAGTTCGTAGTATTTTTATATGTACATGTTTTAATTAACATTAGAAACATTATCAGTGACCACGGTCATATTTTCCATGGAACAAATTGCATATTCATAGACTTGAAGTTGTGAATTAATAACATTTTAAACAGAAAGAATATTTGTCAATAATGAAGATGGTATACAGTAAAAAATTAAATTACAGAGTCCTGAAAATGGAAACTGGATAATGATTTTATCTATCCATAAAGTATGAAAATCATAAAGAAATCAAATACACTAAAATCAACTTGGGGATGCAAGAATAAATGAAAGGGATAACTGCAAACAAACCACAACAGCAATAGTTCTTGGTCCAAAATTATGCTTCGTAAAAGCGAAAAGCGTTATACGTGAGTAAACGACCCAAGCAGAGGTATAACATACAGATCAAAAAGATATGACATTTTTACAAGAATATATTAATCCAAATATAATTCAGTTTTCAAATCACAATAATCACATTAAAACGCGACCATAAATCTAAAAATAATAATCCTAATGAAAGGCCTTGGATTGGTGCCGTGGTTCTATCTTACTGTAAAGATACGACAGAATTATAACGGAAATTAAAAACATTTAGAATCACAGCTTTCTATACAACCAGCATCCAATGAAACGATTTAGTTAGAATTAAAGATAAGATCGCTTTCAATACTGCAAACAATTATGACTACAGATGGCTTTGCATCAACTTTGATGCGTCCTACATTCAAAAGTCTTCTCAGTCAATATAGACCTTGGCACGTACATACATCAGTTCAAGTTGCAATATCACGTTAGTATAGAGAGATAAAATTTTAATTTCTTACCCTAAGATTATCTTCTATTATCAGTGGCCATGTTTCACACTCGTGAAGTAGGATGCAGCAAACTGCTAAGCAGTAAACTAATTCTTTGGTTGGTAGATGGATCGTCACTTACGCCACAGGTTGGAAAAAGCCAGTCAAACCTCCTGAATCCGTACGGATATTTCGTCAAACTATCGGGACTAACAAGACTCCCAAGATCGTTGAAACGGTAAACACTCCGAACTACTTCACTCCTTATCGCTAGTTCAAGTGCCTACGACAGCCGATCCTGAAGCGACATTTTGGATTGGGAGTGAGAGAATGCATTCCAAACATGCTTGCATTGTTGTTTAAGATGGTCAGAAGACTGGATTTGTAGGCGTCTTCTCCAAAAATAACTAATTCAATGAGTCAACAAGTGAATCACCTGATAGAAGGTCTACTAGTGAAAAGTCAGACGATGCAAAAGCTTTATCTAAATGCATGTTCATGAAAAAGTCGAATAAAAATGGAAAGTTCAGCCAAACCTGACGAACCCCACTTGAAATACTCAATTCCGAAGACAGTTTTCATCAAGTTTGTAGTGGTATACTTTTAAGAAGATGACACGATTGCTGAAATATAAACATTTATTATTGTATTTAATTCTGGCAATAATTGTTATATTGCACTCCTTTTGTTTATTTGTACTAAGGACGATCTTTTGAGCGCCAAGCGTGTGATTCCCATTTGTAACAGAGTCAAAATCGCTATGTAGATGTTGCTAACCCATCCTGTTTTCTTTCTATTTCAGGGCGATCAAACACAAACGCTTTGGAAACAGAAGAACAAGCCTTGAATGCTCTGAGCTTACAGGAGGACTCATAAGACCTTGGTACACCACCCACACTATTTCTGTAGAAACCCCGCGTATTTTATTTTAAAAATAGAGATTGCCTTGGCGACGACTTCGTGTTCTCTCTCTTGGTGTGAAGTATTTAGCTAACCGTGTGCGTTGCAATTTTAGATCTGATCCGCTGTTCGGTG